GCTGGAAACCTGGGGATCTCTGCACAGCTTGCAGGCAGCTCAAGGGAGGTTGGAAGTGTCTCTCAAGCCACTCACTACCTCCTCCAGGCAGCTTGTCTGGTCCAGGCAGCTTGACTGGTATCTGCTTCATGGCTGGTCTGAGCATCTTCTGTGTAGTTCAGCTGTCTGACAGTGTCAGCAGTCCTTACTGTTTATATATGCTTGAGGCAGGAGGGCACGAGTGAGTTTTGCTAGTTTCTCTGACTTCCTGAAGATATTAAGATGTTTATTTCTGAACTCTGGGAGATTCTCTGTAGGACTGAATGTATCACCTCCCATTAGAGCATCCCATTTCTTTATCTCTTTTTTAACATCTCACATTTTAAAGAGCTTCATCCAAGGTGGAAGGGTTTAATCAGAAGAAACTGATACACAGTAACACTCCTGGCTATGAAGTCCAAGAACTTTACATCTTAACAGTGAGCAGTCACCATCATATTCATTGCTGCTTTTTTTTTCAAACTAATGCAATCAACTCAAATGCCCACCAACTTGACACATGTGTAATTGAAATGCGATACTTATCTACAAAGATATATTAGTTGTAAATAAAAACAAAACTGTGAAATCTAGTTGTAAATGTAGGCAATAGAAAATATGATAATGAGTGTTGCCATCTAGGCCCCAAAGGTTAAACAGCACATGTTCTCTGTCATAACTTAATCCTAGCATCAAACATTAAGTTCTCTGTGTACAGTTACTGTACACATAGAGGTCAGGAAGCTGGAAGTGGACTTTAGTGGGAGATAGAAAAGAGAGGATGGATGGTAGAATATAGGGGAGATGAAACTGAAAGACAGAATGCTAGGGGCAGAATGGTTCAAGTATTAAGTGGAGTGATGGGTGTGGGACCCAAGCAGCAGCTTAGCCACATAGCTGCCATGACAGGCTTAATAGAAACCAGCCAAAAAGTAGGCCTGAGTTTCAGTTTACTGGCAGGCAGCACCAGGATCCAGGAAAAGCCAGGGATGGGCCAGCATCTAAGGGGAAATACTTGACATTCCAAACATTCCAACCATTAGATAAGATTAGATAAGATTGACAGATGTCCCAAGATCCCCCTAAACAAATGTCAGCCAATCAGGTTCCTGAAAATTCCCTCACCCCAACCTCTGCTATGATAAAAACCCTACCCCAACAGGGCTCAGGGCTCTCTGCCCTCACCACTGCATCAGACAGATGGAGAGTCTAAGCTCAATCTTGAAATAAAGGCTCTCTGCAGGATTCAGTCTCTGTGGTGGTATTTTTTTTTTTTGGGGGGGGGATTCCCCTGATCTGGGCATAACAGTGGGGAGTAGAGGATGTTATGAATTATTGTGAGCAGGCTGGGAAGTGGGGGGGGGGGGGGGGGGAGAGGGCCCTGAGGGTATCCAGCATGTGCAGGGAACCATGCTGGTCAGAGGCAGCATGGCAAAAGCTGTGGCCAGAAATTCACAACCTAGACACTGCATCCTCATGGAGAGTTTATTATAACAGAGAGATGAAGAGAAAGATACTATAAAGAGAGATGCTAGGGGATGTCTTTCTGTATGTGGTGAATATATGTTGCTTCCACTGGTTAATAAATAAACTACTTTGGGCGATGGCAAGGCAGCTTAGAGTCAGGTGGGAAATCCAATGAGAGAGAAAGGAAAGAGAAAGGCCGAGTCTAGGGAGACACTAACATTGCCAGGAGAAGCAAGATGTGAGAGAATGGTAAGCCATGGCCGCATGACAACTTATAGATAGATAGAAAGATGGGTTAAGTTATAAGAGCTAGCTAGCAAGAAACCTGGCATAGGCCATACAGTTTGTAAATAATATAAGCTTCTGTGTGTTTACTTGGGTCTGAGTGGCTGTGGGACCACGGGTGAGAGAGATTTGTCTTGATTACAGGGGAGGCAGGACCTGAGAAACTTTCGACTACAGAGAGAGACAGAAAGTGAGAAAAGAGGAAGAGAAGGAGGAGGAGGAGGAAGGGGCACACACTTCATGGGAGGAAAAGCAGAAGAGAGAGGGGAAGGGGAGGGGTTTTTCCCTAGAATGAGGCTTTTACATTAGAATGCAGGGCAGCACCAAGGGGAGGAGTTTGAAGGGGCAGATCAGAATATTAACAGAGGAGGCTGCTGAAAGGTCACCTCAAATGGAGAGCTCCATGAAGAAGTTACATGGGAACCTATTTTGCAACTCAAGTAAAAAGTATGAGAGGGTGGTAGAACACATGTGCTATAAATGAATGGGACATTGAATAATGTGTGCTTTTATTTGTGCTTTAATAAACAAAGCTTGCCTGGAGATCAGAGGAAAAGGGCCAGCCATTATAAGTAAACAAAGAAGTCAGGCAGCGGTAGCACACACCCTTTATCCTATCATTTGGCAGTCAGGATCTCTGGGTGTTCAAGGCCACATTGGAAACAGAGCCAGGTGTAGTGACACACACCTTAAATTCCAACACTAGTTAAAACCGTGGAGGGCTGGAGGGCTGTACAGACAGACAAGTGACAGAGCTGTGTAGGAAGAGGAAGTGATGCAGCTGAATGGAGAGAGCAAATCAGATGGCAGAACAGCAAGGCATATAGCCGTGGTTAGACAGGAAGTGACTCGCGTTTGGAAGCTGTAGAGTTGGTGAGGTAAGGTTGGCTGGTGGCTTTCCCTATTCTCCTGATCTCTCTAAGGCTTTCAGCCCTATATTTGGCTCCATGTTTTTAATTTAATAACATCATTTAGAAATTCATCTAAAGTATGCTAGATGTTTAACTCCAGACAGGGCAAGGAGAAAGGAGAAAGAGTGAGTGGGTTAACCAAAAGTAAGGATGTGTGAAGAAGCCTTTATGAAATTCCACTCTCTTACAAGTTAACAGAAAACATGAATTTAAAGAACGGAAGTTCTCACATGGGTAAATAATGCTGCTTCCAGTCACTGGGGCTATTAAGTGGAACCCTTTGCACTAGGTACTGGGTATCTGCCTAGGACTCACTGGTCAGGGAGGCCTCAGAGGCACCCCAAACAAAACAGGTTGTTGCCAGTGCTCTTGCGTGGGTACCCAAAGTACATGAAGACATCAAACTCTTTGGTTGCAAGATAGAGAGCAATCTTGAACTTACCAGAAAATTCTCCCGGCTGGCTAGCTTTTACAACATTGCAAAGAAAAGATGTCAATGGTCTTATCTACCCCTAAATTCTGCATCCTACAGTATCAATCTATGAGCCAGGATGTGTGCAATGGTGCAATACTAGCACAACTGCTTATGGGTATAACCACCTGTCTTGATTGAATTTGAAGCTTGCTCCATAGAGGGGAATTCATGACTTCTACGATAATCATGGTCAAAAACCATGGCTTTGGAAGCACAGGTCAAGAGCAGAAGCTACTGATGTTTTGCTAATGATCATGCTAAATAGTCCACCTAAATATTTATTTTGATAATGATCAATTTGTAAAACTCTCAGCCTTAGGGAAAGAAGCCTCTTGCAGTAGTTGGTGGTGGAAATGCAAAGACTCATAATATTTCAAAACATACTGAGAACAAGCAATTGTGCAAGACTGGGGTAATTACCATTTCATCACAGCTGAGGGAGGGTCCCACACATCTACTTTCACTCTATGAGCCTACTGGCAGTTAAGGGCAGCTATATTATTTTAGAGTTTGGAGTGAATACTTCACCATTTCTCCTCAGTAATCAAAATTAATTTCTGTATGCTTCTGGTGATTTCTTTTTTATTGTTGTTTGTTTGACACAGGGTTTCCTTAGATAGACCAGGCTGGCTTTGAACTCAGAGTTCAGCCTGCCTTTGCTGGAATTAAAGACATGAAGGACCATACTCTTAGCCTTTGGAGTTTTGTAAGCTGTATGTGAGCATGTATGTAAGCATGTATGTAAGCATGCCCATATTGTCACAGTCACAGCCTATCTCTTTACAATTCTCACCTTCTTGCAGTTTTTAAGGTTTTACTCTTGTATTCTTCATACAAGAATTTGGAAGGTGAACAAAAGATCAGACTTTATTAGGAAATATTCTTGTTTTTTTCATAACAAATTCTTCCTATGTCTACAATTTCAGAACTAGGTAAATGACTTACCATATTGAATGCATTTTTGGAAGTGGAATTTCCAGTGAACAGCAACACATGGGAATTCTATATGGTATACCTTCATATGGTTTCTCAGAACTATGAATTTTCTGATGTACAGCAAAATTAGAGGGCTCTGTCACATTTTTCATGTTACTACATTTTGTCCTCATTATGTTTATGTAGTCCTGGCTGTCCTAGAACTCACTCTGTAGACCAGGATGGCCTCCGACTCACAGAGATCTTCCTTCCTCTGCATTCTTAGTGCTGGGATTAAAGGTATGCACCACCTCACCTGGCATTATTATGAATTTTTACATATTGAACAAGATGTTTTTATTACAGCATTTTCTGTGGGAGCCTGGTTTTAGGTTCCTCGTGGCTTTACCAGCAGGTCTGCACAGAGGATGATTAGGACCATGGGCCTGAGTGCAGGTGTCTGAGATGGTCTGCACTTGGCTGTGCTGGGGGAGGAGGTCTTTTGCCCCACCCCTTGGCGTCTCTATAAATACCTTGGGGCAGAGACATTTAGGGCCAGTTGGAATACGTTGCAGGCCCTCTCAAGGCTATCCTTTATTTTCTATCTGTTTATCTCCACAATCAAAATCATTCTATCTTATATTTCCTGCTGCTCACACTCAAGAAAACTCTGGGGAGCTGTGGGGTTGGTAGGTAAACGCCCTACAATTTTCCAAGGGCTGTAGATATGGCTTAGTGGTTAAAAGCAATGGTTGCTCTTACAGAGGACTGGGGTTCAATTCCCAACACACACACAGCAGCTCACAACTTTCTGTTAATCCAGCTTCAGGGATACAATGACTTCTTCTGGCCTCACAAAACAAATTTGCAGTATGCAGAAATATTTGCAGGCAAACCAACCATATACATTAAGAAAAAACTTTTCCCAGTTACTTTTACAAAATTTTATTTTAATATAAACCCTGTGATATTTTCTAAGATTTAAACCTTCATTAGAGGCATTCACAAGTTTCTCATCTTTATGTTTTTATTATATATACTGTTGAGATTCATAAGCTGAGAATTTCAGATAAATGCTATATCACATTATTTATAATGGTATTTTTCTCTCTAGTATGAATTTTCTAATGTCTTCTAAGACTTGCAATATGGATATAGGACATGTCACAAGTCTTTGCATTTGTAAAGTTTCTTTCTAGTATGAATTTTCTGATGTGCTCTAAGATATTCACACCTACTAAAAGATTTGTCACATTCCTTACAACTGTAAGGTCTCTCTCCACTATGAACTCTCTGATGTGTTCTAAGATGTGACTCCTGGGTAAAGGATTTGTCACATACCTCACATCTGAAAGGCCTCTCCCCAGTATGGATTCTGTAATGCCTTTTAAGATGTGATAATTCAAGAAAGGACTTACCACATTCTTTGCATTTGTTATGTTTCTCTAGAGAATGAGTTTTCTGATGCCTACTCAGTGATGAATAGTGGGGAAAGGCTCTGTCACACTCATTGCATTTGTAAGGCTTCTCTACAGTACGGAGTTTGTAATGGCTTCTAAAGTGTGAAAGCTGATGAAAGACCTTGCCACATTCTTGACAACTATAATGTCTCCCATCTGTATGCATTTTCTGATGTTTCTTAAAACTGGAAGAGTGGGCAAAGGATATGTCACATTCCTTACATTGGTAAGGCTTCTCTCCTGTATGCATTTTCTCATGGCTTTTAAGTGCAGACAACTGAGGAAATGACTTTCCACATTCTTTGCATTTGTAAGGCTTCTCTCCAGTATGGAGTCTTTGATGTGTTTTAAGATTTGTGCATTGGGTAAAGGATCTGTCACAAACGTTGCACTTGTAGGGTTTCTTTCCAGTATGTATTCTCTGGTGTACAGTGAGGCTTGAGGCAGTACTTAAGTATTTCCCACATTTCCCACACTGGTAAGGTTTCTCAGCAATGTAGATTGGTTGTTGCAACAGACCGTGTGCAGCACTGAAATAGTCATCATCTTCTCGCTGCCTGTGCTCTTTCTTTGCAGTGTAGAGTCTCTGATCTTGAGTAATGTTGGAACACAAATTTAAAGATTTCTCACAATCTTTAGATTTGCAAGGTTCATCTCCAGTGTGCATGCTTTCATGTCGGTCTGGGATTGATGAGTCAATAGAGGCATCCCCGTGATTACTGCATCTGTAGTCACTGGCATTTTCTGTAGTTTGACTTGTTCTATAAAGTGCACATGTGGAGGGGTCATGAAGCACTTTGCCAAGCTCAGTACACTGACAAGACTCCTTTCCAGTCTTCACATGTTGATGGACAGGATCACATTTGCAATAGTTCTCTGAAAATGAGTACAATTTAGATTAATAGGGCTTGTTCCAAGACTAAACATTTGATAAATGACTGTCTCCCTAAGTTCTCTCTTAAGATAAATCAACCAGCAACTACTTAGAATAGAGCTCTCAGTAGTTGACCTTATTCTTACAGTATAATTACATGGATTTTCATAAAAAGGTGATAGCCTTCAAGGAAGTTGAAACAAGTAATTGTAGAATCAGTAATCCAGCCTTGGGATGGAGCTCACTGACTGATTATATTTAGAATACATGTCTCTATTTTTAAGTAATCTTTTCTCAGATATTGATGGAGGAGGGTTCAATGCAATCCCAGGTTCACAGTGTTTACTTATTAATATACAGCCATAAAGAATACTGTTCAGAAGACCCAATTCCTCTTAATATCAAAGGTTTACTTAAAAGCATCAAAGTTTTTTTCTTTTCCCCTAAAAAAAAAAGTTAGATTCTTCAAAAGTAATGGCTGGAAAGCCAGTATTGTGCCAGACATCAGAAGCTTAAGATCAGTGGTTCTCACTCAACCTGTGGGTTCCCACTATGAAAATACATATTTCTGATGTTCTTAGGAACTGAGACACCGCTTTGTAGCAAATTTACAGTCAGGAAGTAGCAACAAAAATAATTTTATGGGGTACTTGAGAGATGGCTCAGTGGTTAAGAGCAAATGACTGACTACTTTTCCAGAGGACCTGAGTTCAATTCCCAGCACCCACATGACATCTCACCACTGTTTGTAACTACGGTTCCAGGTGATCTGGCACCCTCACACACACACATACATGCACATAAAATAAAATAAATAAATCTTTAAAAAAATAATTTTATGGTTGGGGGTCACCACCACATAAGAAAGTACATTAAAGGTTGTAACGTTACCAAGGTTGAGACCTGCTCTAGACCATTTGAGGCAGGGCTGTCATTGGAAGCCATTTCTTATCTCTACCCACTACTGACATACATGCAAGGAAGGCAATTACAGAATAATCCCACTTCATGGACTCACATTAGGCTTAGAATCTGTAAAATTATTCCAATCTAGTATCAGCATAGTCAAATAAATATCAGATGTAATAAGGCACAACATCTTCTAACAGTTACAACAGGCAGGATGCATCCTGGGGCCAGGACATTATACTAACTTAAGTGAACAGGAATCTTTCAAGTGGAATTGAGTATCACAAAAGCACTTTCAGCTCTTGAGTTCTCTTTCAATTCATGCTCTCACTTGTCCTGCCCTTTCACTAGCCCACCCTAGTTGTGGCTACTCTCTCCTCTCCACATTCCAGGGCAATCTCATTTTCTCTGAACAGGTGACCAGGCCTACTTTGCATATAATAATCCATGTGTTCTGTGAGGTAGCCCATGACCCATGCTAGTATTTCAAAAAGTCTAACATAATACTGGGCTCAGTAGATTAAGAAAACACTAAGTAGAGGAATCTAAGAATGGTTTCCGATTGCTACTTCCTGTCAGAATCTTCAGCATATATAGGAAGAATTTTTAGTTTACACATCTTGAGTTTTTCTCACAATTAAAACAATGACAAGTGCAATGATGGACATGGAGCTTTAAGATATGGGTGCAAATATTATACACTACTAAGTTTCCGAAGTTATCATGGAACCTAAGTGAGGAGTACATCTCTAGAATAGAAAATGGAAAGAAAGAAAGAAAGAAAGAAAAACCATGAAAAAGTTCCTTTCCACTACTAAAGTTTCCATAGTCCCCTGTTGTTTCCAAGACTGTTTAACAAAGAGTTTACAACCTATGATGTAGGTACATACAAAGCCTGAGTTGGGAATTCTACAAGCAAAATGTTCTCACCCACAAAGACCAGGTTGTTATAATTCTCCAACATCACATCAATGTACAAAGACCGCTGAGCAGAGTCCAGGCATTCCCACTCCTCATGGGAGAAGTCCACAGTCACATCCCGGAATGTCAACATACCCTGAAATGAAAATTTACAGTTAGACCATGTGGTACCAGACAGAGTGCTTTCCTGGATGTAAGGAGACTTAAGGAAATTAGGGATGTAGATGAGTGAAGACCATTACCCAAAGCGATGACTTCTAACATAGTCACATTGTATAGTGTATTTTCTAACTCCAAAAGCAAGATGACATAATAGTCTTAAGTAATATACATAAAATAAGACACACATTTAAGTTCCGGACACAGTTATCTATCTGTTATTGGATGCTGTGTTTATGTTACACAGGATCACAGCAGACATGTCTCAGAAGGAAAATTCATGATGAGGAAATGTGCTTTAAATGCTGTACCTGTAGATCATGCTAAAATACTAAAACTAAATCATCCTGTGTGTACCTGGGCCTTACATGACTCAGTTCTACCAAGTTCAGTTGGGATGTTTAGACTCGAGGTCCAAAGCCAAATCATTAAATAGCAAAGGAGTAGGTAAGGAAGGCAAAATTTATGATTGACTCAATAGTCAAAGAGTCTGGGATTTTTCCCACAGTAACAGGTAGTGTGACACTATGCACTGTAAATTTTAATACTAGCATATAAGATCAAGGAGCCTATGGAATTAATTTTATGAGAATATTGGGCTACTACCAAGCAGATAGAAAAATCAGCATCAGCCACATTTGATATAATCCAAAGTTTTCTAAAAATATTCAGAAGCTGACTGAGACAAACAATAATTTCAGACTTTTTAAAGATTTCACTCAAAAAGAGTTATAAAAATATTGATAGGGGACTGAAGAAAATGCTCTCCAGTTAAAAGCACTAACTGATCTTCCAGAGGACCCAGGTTTAATTCCCAACATCCACATGGCAGCTCATAGCTGTCTGTAAATCCAGTTCCAGGGGATCTGACATCCTCACACAGATATACATGCAGGCAAACATCAATGCACATGAGATAAAGTAAGTTGTCAAGTGGTGGTGGTGCATGCCTTTAATCCCAGCACCGGGAAGGCAGTGGCCGGTAGATCTGTGAATCTGAGGCCAGCCTGGTCTATAGAGTGAATTCTAGGACAGCCAAAGCTGTCTCAAAACCTGTCTTGAAAAATAAAAGAGAAACAAGTAAATAGTTAACAAAATTAATGATAATCCAAATATACATTGAACAATGTTTAAGTTACAGCTAAGCATGTACAAGTAAGTGTAGTAACTGTGGATGCCTTCAAAGGTGACATAGATTTCATGTTAATAAATGAATATATTAAATTCTGTGAGAATTATAGTCCCTTTTCAGTGTTTTGCACATATAATACAGCACAGAAGAATGGCTCAAGAGAAAATTTGAGCTATTGTGTCTAAGTTTTGTAGTCATCAATATGGTCCTTTTTAATACTTATGTTGTACTGTGTAACAGATTTTAGGTTAGTGTACATGTAACGGTCTTATTAAATAAGAAACACAGAGTTAAAAGCCCAAGAGGTCGGAGCAGTAGCTAAGAGCTGAGACTAAAACCGCTTTCTTATCCCTCGCTGCCACTGCCATCCTTCCCCTGAGAAAGAGACCTACTTCCTGTGTGTCTGTCTTTTTATTGACTATCTGTTCTGCCTTCTCATTGGTTATAAACCCAACCACATGACCTCCTTATCACTGTCTGTCTACAAAGACCTCCAGGTCTCTATGGTTGGTATTGAAATTAAAGGCGTGTGTCTCCATGCAGGCTATGTCCTTGAACACACAGAGATCTGCCTGTCATGTGATCGGGATTAAGGGTGTGTGCTACCAATGCCAGACTTCTGCTATGGCTTGCTATTAGCTCTGACCGCCAGGCACTTTTATTTATTAACGTACAAATAAAATCATATTTCAGCACAAATAAAATATGATCATAGGTTAGTAGTGTTTATGATTCTTCCTTTATTTCTCTAGAAATAGAAATTGATGACATATTCTCTCTGAGCTGTGGGGCATTTACCCACCAACTCCACAGCTCCCCAGAGTTTTTTTGAGTGCAAGCTGCAGGAAATATTAGAAGGATTCAGATTGCAGAGATAAATAGATAGAAAATAAAGGATAGCCTCCAGAGGGCCTGGAACCTATTCCAAAGCGTTCTGACTGTCTCTGCCCCAGGGTATTTATAGAGACGCCAAGGGGGTGGAGCAAAAGGCCTCCTCCCCCAGAACAGCCAAGTGCAGACCATCTCAGACACCTGCACTCAGGCCCGTGGTCCTAATCACCTTCTCTATGCAGACCTGCTGGATAAAGTCAAGACGAACGTGAAAATGGGGTCCCCTTTTCTTAATATATAAAAAATAACTCATTAATAGCTTACAGCAATCTCCATAGCTGTTATAACTCCCAGTATGGGAGTAGAGGGTGATAAAGATGGCATTTCTCTTTTGGATCAGGTCCAAGGTGACTACAGCAGTCTTTAGCTGTATCAAGCCCTTTCTAAACCAAAAACTTAATGCAATCGAAAACTTAAAGAATCCCTTAGCTTCATCATTACCTGTAATAGGTTAACATAACTATTGCTATACATAGTCAAAATTCTCCCAATCTTACAACTCAAAGCAAACTCTTGACAGAACCATATATGGTGCTATATATAGTTAACAATTTTCTCAGTCTTACAATTCTAACTCTTAATCATTTGAATTTTCTTGCTA